CTCCACCCCATAACCAGTTCGCCCAAAATCGAATCGTCGCGAGCGATGGCGGAGCACCCAGAAATTGCCCAACTAAGCTATGTTCCCACTGACGAGCACCCTCATCCATCACCGCCTTTGGAATTCTAATCGATCCATCCACCATCTCTGACTCATAGAACTCCAGCTTTGAATCCTCCGAGACACCAAACAGCGCAGCCCACGGTCGGCCGCCACCTACGGCGCCTGATGAGGCTCCGTCAGCGACGGTCGTCATCACGAAACCTAATCCGAGCTTGAGAGAATTCGAGAGCGTTTTTTTTTTAGAGCAGAGAGAGAAGGACGTAATGAACCTCTCTCAGGCATGTTGGATTTTGCTGCCAGCTCTAAGCGAATCCCTTATCATCCTCAGTGTCGATCAATAGGTCTGACACACTTATGCTTCGCAGATGACCTATTGATTTTCACTGAGGGGTCAGCAGCTGCACTGGTACAGATACGAAGTTTATTAAATGATTTCTATTTGTTATCGGGGTTGAGTTGTAATCCTCAGAAATGTGAGGTATTCTTCGGTGGACAGGCACATTTATACAAGGAAAATGCGATTGAGTTATCAGGGTTTGCAGAAGGACAATTGCTTGTGAGATATCTGGGGCTCCCTTTATTTTCTGGTAGGCTGTCAGCTAGGGAATGTGAAGAGTTAGTGGACAAGCTGACTAGTCGAATACGCTCATGGAGAGCCAGCAAGCTTACTTATGCAGGAAGACTCCAACTGATTTCATCAGTGTTGTACTCTTTAGTGCAATACTGGATGAATATTTTCATTCTGCCTAAGAAAGTTTTGGATCTCATTCATAAGATTTTTTCAGACTTTTTATGGCATGGGGAAGGCACAGGCAGAGCAAAGGTGGCTTGGGACTTAGTTGCTCTTCCTAAACGTGAGGGTGGTATGGGATTGAAGGATTTGGGAAGTTGGAACATGGCGTGTATGGCCAGATTGTTGTGGCTTATTCTGATGAAAAGTGGTAGCTTCTGGGTAGCTTGGCTGCAACAATACAGGCTGAAGGGGAGATCCATATGGAATGTTCCTCTTTCTCAGTCTGGTTCATGGATTTGGAGGAAACTAATTAATTCTAGGAGCTGGTTCCAGTACAGGTTTGATACTGATGCAGAAGGTAGGGTGCTATGGGAAGGGGACCTGATGCCGAGATTTGTGGTGCAGAAGGTTTGGGTGTCAATCAGACCAAAAAAAGCTCGGGTGGATTGGTGGAAGCTGATCTGGAATAAACATGTGATCCCTAGAAACAGAGTGGTGGCTTGGCTAATTATAATGAACAGGATCACTACGAGGGACAAGCTTAAGCAATGGGGGAAACTTTCTGACTCTGTGTGTGTTTTATGTCAGGTGGAAGAAGAATCTCGTACTCATTTGTTCTGCAATTGTTCCTATGCTTTGAATTTCTTTGCAGCAGTTTTGGCTTGCACAGGTGGCCAAATGATTGGGAAGCCCTCATGTATTGGTTGCATCGACGATGTAATAAGGAGGGCAGCAAAGGCTGATTTGGAGCGCAATATGGTGCTGGTGTGTCAGTGTTATTTGGAAAGAAAGGTGTGCTCGGATGTACAGGGGAGAGCAAAAGTCGGTAGAGGAGATTAAACGCAGGTGGGTTGCTGATTTCAATCTGTTTGTTATGGGGAGGGCTGATTTTCGATTGGAAATACAGAAAATCCCCCACTTGAGTAGCCTACTTTATGCAGTATAGGTAGTTTTTGTGAGAGTTTTCTGTTTATTCTTGTAAACAGACTTGTAGAGCTTTTGGCTCTTTGTTTTTGAGGGTCCTGTTTTATCAGGCTGAGCTGAATAAAAGTTTCGATAATTACCGGAAAAAAAATATTGTGATAATAGTTTAGGCAACATAATGTGTAATAAAACAAGGAATGTCAATGAGAAAGAAGTACATATTACCTAACTACAAGGGTCGGTCTGAGTATATCCAACATCACCATTATCAAACTCATTCTCTTGAGGAGACAAAAACATATTCTGTAAAATGTATGGAAAAAAGTGCAAAGTGTTGTAATTCGTAAACTTAGGCGTTGTAATTTGTCAACTTGGTTTTGCTATCATGGCAAACGTTCAAATTCTGTATAACACGATAATTGTTAACAATTCTTTAAAAAAACAAAAAAGACAAGGAAAACAAGTCTGCAAAAATGCATTAGGCAACAACGAAGGGAGAGCCCAAAGTTGTGAGGTACAACACAAAATGCCAGAGGTACTAAAACACCACGCTCCATTTAAACATTATGAAAAAACAGTGTGGGATTCAAAAGAGCTCAAAGCTTTCACACACCCTGCTGCACCTTGTCTCCTCAGCTATCCATAAATTATTCGTAAATCAATTAAGCCATAATCATGTACCATTTTTTGATTCAAATTTCAGACCATTCAACACCAAATACCTCAACTCATTAAGCCATATATCTTGAGTATTTGGTGGCTAAGGTTGTTGAGCTTTTTTTTCTTTCGGGAAAGAGTGTTGTCAAGAGTTTAGAAATATGGATTCTATCAAACAATATATTTTGATTCTATTTTTTTACCGGGGAGCAAAAGATGAGGGCCATCTATGGATTATGGATTGTGATCACTAGTTCACCACAAGGTATTCTACTCTAGAATTTGCATCAAATTGATCTACTGATTCTACTCTAGTCTTTCTTTCCCACTCGTGTTCACTTCCATAGACATGATTAGTACGATAAAAAAAAATCAAAGTGAGATTGCAGTCAATGGGCCTATCCTTACTAAAAACATGCAATATGTTACCTCTAACCCCGTGAAATCCATTCACAAACACATATAACCCACAAACTCTTGCTCCTTTAGAGAAAGAGAGTAGTGGACTAAGGAGGAAGGGAAAGGAGTTGTCAATGTCAAGGAAGGGAAACGAATAGAAAAACTTACCAGTGCTTGAAGACTGAATGTCTGGTTGAGATTGAGCATCCGACATAATGAGGTTGGAAGGATGAATGTGAGCGTGACGCCGCTAGAGAGGATAAACGCCGATATGAAGAGGATGAAGGAGGATTCGGGAAAAATCCCTCTTTCGAACCCTAGTAATAGAAAATGGGATTAGATGGGTGAGACTCACCAAGCGTTGAGTTGGAAATCAGAAACCTAATTAGGTTTAAAAAAATCTTAATTGCCCACCCGCCCAACATCCCTATGATATCCCGCCTTCTTTTTTATTCTAAGTTTGGGTTTTGGGGGGACAACATTTTCGCCCAAATTCATATTTGCCTAGCGTTCGTGCCTGCAGAGATGGGGAGAAGATGAATGGCGAATAAGCCGGAAGGATAAAGGTGAGTTTTGTTATAGTGGGGACCGGGGAGTTAGAGTACAATTAAAAATGGTCTCTTGCCTCTATAAAAACATACTCATTATTCAAAGCTTAAACGTTAATTCATAAAAAAATAACGTGAATATAATTATGATCATTATATCTTACAATTTGCGGCACACACGCGTCTTGTTAATACAATCTTAATTGTTGGTATTTCAATTAACACTTTTTATATTCGTCATAAAATATTTTTCAATTTATATTTTAGTTAGCAACGTATTAGCGATAATTAGTTTAGTCTCTATAATTATTTATATAACAGAAAAATAGTTTTTGCCTCCAAAAGTATTAAAAACAAATATAATAATGAAATTCATTTTTCATAGATAAGAGGGCAAAACTTTAAGCGTCATTTATAACAAATGTGCCGCTATATGTAATATTTGAATTAAATTAAAATAAAATGTCAAAAGATAATGGTTTTAGGGGCAAATAATTTTATTTTTAGAGGCAGATAATATATTGGTCGTGTATAACGCATTTTAGGAGACAATTATTTTATGTGCCACCAATTTCTGTCGCTAAAGGTCATTTTTCTTGTAGTGTCGGGAAATAATTTCCTTCTTCAAGAAAACGAGCCTCTAGTGCAAAATATGTGAGTCCACGTTGCTTTCACCAAAGACATCACTAGGTAACAGCAACCGCTGCCGCCTTGGTTTATTCCTCTCGTGTGCGAGTCGCCGTTGGCGTCGTCTCTCCACAAAGCTACCGATGAGGCTACAACTTCTCTACTCTGCCCGTCCGTTCACAAAAGACGACCATGATCAGATCACATCTCTGCTTGAGGCTTCCATCTAGCCCGAAAATCAACCGCCACCGATAAGAAACTTCCATCTTGCCGACTCCAAGGCGCTCTCAAGTTATGCCTCCAACTACACCGTTGTTTGTCCCTGCCACATCGGGAGGCAAGCGCTGTTTCCTCCCATCATCTGAATCATCGCCCACAACACCCATGGACGACTCCACCGCTCTCCAACCCCTCGAATGACAGTGCTCCCATTCGTTCAGCTGCTGCCCTCGACTCATTTTGCCAATTTCGCTTAACAAGATCCACCCAGCCTACTAACACCAATTGTCCATGTCCAACGACGTTCATTCTGACTCAACGGTTCTCGTGCCCTCCAGCTGTTTGGTCCGATTCGCCACCTATTACGGCATCTACTGTCTGAGTCGGTGGCTCCATCTCCTCCTACTCCGGTCAACCTCGCTCGGCACTTACCCTCTCGTTCTCCGGTTAGGCTTCTGGTCGAGTGTCGTTGTCCTCTTTCACGTAATAGAGTTCTCTCCATGGTTTCTAGATATGGCCATGGTCGGGTTTACGATGGAGAAGGAACGGAAGAGAGACGAGCTAGAGAAAGGGTTTGGGCGGCTACTCTCTTAGTCTCTTAGTCTTACGTCACCTTTTGGGGCTTAGGATACAGCGAGTAACCAAAGGTTACTCATCCATCAATAATCAAATGGGAACCGTAGATCTGAGAGGAGAAACATTATGTGGCTGATATTGACGGGGGGTGGGGGAGGGGCATTTTTGTCCAATTTTTTAAACTTTATTTCTTTCCTTTTTTTTTATTTTTCCAGCATTTATATGCTCACTTTTAATTGAGGAAAGAGAAAAACCAGATTTCTTCCTCTCTCTTTTTTCTTTCTCTTTCTCTCTTCTTTCTCTCTTCCAAACACTTTTTTCCGGATCTAGATCTGTTCCCTTCTCTTGTTATTCATTTTTTTCTCCAATCGACAAAGAAAAAAATTGCAGCCTCCCCTCTCAAATTCGGTGACGCTCCAAATCCTTCTTATCTCGATCTGCTCCTTCCTTCTGGTCTTTCTTTTCTCGGCATCAAAATAGATGACGCTCCATATTGACCAAGAGGGGACAGATCTAGGTGAGTCGAGTTTGCATGTTTTATGTTTTAGTATTTGTTTGTGAATTTTCAATTCCGATCTTCCTCCTTTTTTTGTATTTGGTGTTCTTGATTGTGGAGGAGGAAATGAGAGGAGACAGAAGACGAGTTTTTTTTTCTCTCCCTCATTCTGTTTTTCTTCCTTCTTTTAGGTAATATATTAATATTACCATACTATACCATATGGTAATAAATGCTAACTAAATGTATTTTTATGGTCATGAGTTTTATCATGATGGTAGTGGGTGGTAATTGACAACAGTTCCGAGAAAGAAGAGTTAGAAGACAATGAAGTGGGAGAAGAAAGTGAAAAGAGTCGTAATTGTATATATATATATATTAAGATTACCACACTATACCATATGGTAATGTGTCTATACCATATGGTAATGTGTGGTAACGAAATGTATTTTTATGGATATAATATTTTTCTATGGTCGTAGAGGGTTGTAATTAGATTTATATTATTTTCGTATGGTTTTACCTTCTCATACCATGTGGTATTGTATGGTAATTACAATTAATTTGTGTTCATTCGATTAACCATGTTCTACTATGGTGGTATTGAATGATAGTTATATTTATAATTTTCTGTAACCTGTTTTACCATGTTATACCATGTGATGGTAGTTGGATTTGTAATTTTATTTTAGCATGTTATACCATATGGTATGGTATGGTAATTAGATTTATAAAGATTTGTAGCATATTTTACCACGTTATACCATGTGGTATTGTATGGTAGTTAGATTTTCATTTTCTTCAACATATTTTATCATGTTTTACCACGTTATACCATGTGGTATTGTATCATAGTTAGATTTGTAATTTTCTTCAACATATTTACCATGTTTTACCATGATAGTAGAAAGTGATAATCATATTTATACTTGTAATTACTGTCTTTAGCAGTGAATTATTTAACGATAAAATCATCATTCAATTTGAGTTGGAATTAGAACAGAGATAGCTAGAATGGTTAGATTCATTTTTGTTGTAGATGGGAGAGAGAAGAAATAATGTATTTTTTTAATAATAAAACAAAGACTGAGAGAGAGGGGAACCAGTATAGGGTGAGTGAGTGGGATCCGCGTCTTGTCAAAAAGTCAGCGTCAGCGCTTCAGCATTAAATAGGGGTGCAATTTACCTTAATGCCCCTCCGTGTTTAATTTAAATAAAAGGAAAAAGCTGACACGTGGGGACAGATGATTGGATTACTGACAGTTACTGATGGATGAGTTACTGATCTGATCCGGTCCCACCTTTTGGTTTTCTTTATGGGAAGATGGGAGCCGAGAGATATAATGCGGCAGCTTAGCTTAGGGTTTTGCTAGTGAAAGGGTTGTTTTGGAAATTTCACGATTAATTGAGTATCGGGTGAGTTTGATCCGATATTAGTTTAACCTCCGTAATTTCCACATTTTATGTCGAAACTCGACACCGTTTGAACCGAGAGTTCACATTTTTAGTCCTTATCGATATTACGGTGGAATTAGACAATTGTTGACAAAGTGAAAAATGGTCATTTTGGCTTAAGAGAAGGATGAGGTGTAACAGAACCAAAACTAAAAATGTCCCAAATTCAAGAACCAAAGTCGAATTGAAAGATAAACAGTTCGATCTGATTCGGTGTGAGAGTCGATTCGGTCCAATTCGGTCCGATGTGAATCGAATCGTTTCCCACCCCAACCCATTAGTAGGAAACTACTGCTGTCCATTTTAAATATTTCGAGATTGATATTTAAACATACTTGCCCTATATTGGACCCAAACTAAGGTTTATACTTGGGCCTTAGCTGAGATTTTATTGTAATATTCGGAGCGAGTCAAGTTTTTTGCGCTGTTGTCGAGGAGCTTCGGTCCGTTATCTTGAAAAGATTGATTGGTGTTAATCTAGATTTTAATTTAAGTTTTGGTAAGTGTGGATTTTGCTTGTGCTAGACGTGTTGTGTTCTTTTAAGTGTGTGCAGTGAGGTACATTGCCACGAGCAATCCGACGCCTTTAACACCACTAGACGAGAACATCAACCGGACTCTCTGACTTTTGGCTCATGAGAGTGAGAGTGAGTTAGCGGAAGCAAGAAGGAGAATTGAAGAGAGGGGACAAAAAGTTGATCTCGGATTTGGAGGAATTGAAGTAGAAGTTGAAGTTAAGATGGCAGGGAATCAACATTGAGGTACTAATCCGCTCCAAAACCAAAATGCGGAAGTAGAAGCCGAGGAAAAACCTAGAGCTATGGGCTATTACATCGCCCCACGGGTGGTGGATACCCAATCTCCCATCCTACATCCACCCGTGGCCGCCAACAACTTTAAAATCAAGCCCACTCTCATCATGATGATTCAAAACAACGCCTTGTTCCACGGGCTTGCCAATGAATCACCGCGAGAGCATGTTCGAATGTTTCTTGGGTGTTGCTCCCCCTAGCTAGCAATTACGACTTGAAGGATCAAACAAGTAGCCAAATGTGTTAGAGGGTATAAACCGCAAGGTAGTCTAACAAGTAGCCAAGGGTACCTTCTTAGTCTCTAGGGTGAGGAAATGGGATACGATCCAAGCTACTAATGCAACCCTCTCAACCTATTGACTAAGGAATGGTTAGACTTCACTCTCGAATTGGAGTTCGGACGGCCACCGACAACCAAACCCTACGTGCTAATACGAAATAGGAGGTTTGCCCTCAACTAACCTAGAATAGGATGCATGAAATGCCCAAGGAAATGCACACAATCCTCCTATGTAGAACCTCAATGGAACTCAAAAGCGAGAGCTCCGGGACACAAGGACGACTCACGTATAGACACGAAGAAAGTATGGGGGTCGTTCTATCAAACACCATTTAAGCTCACAAGCAAAAATCTCTTACAAGAGAACGACCCCCATAGTCACAAGGCTCAAAGGGGTTGACTTGGGGATAAAACATTTCGGGACAATCAACATTTGAGTGTGGACTAATCCTATGTTTCCATCATACTCACTAGTGACAACTGTGATGTTACTCGACATGGTAAGAGGGATCTAAGCACACAAGAAGAAAACGATCGGCTCAAAACTCACATGGCTACCTAGTCACCCAATCATCTATTCCAATTCACAAAACACAATGCATGGCAATTATAATCAACAAGTAATTGAGTCAAGACATCCATTCATTTTTTGCACACATGAGAGCTAAACCTTTGCACTACCCTAATGCACCTCTCAGTCATCGTCATATGACACACTCGATTACATGCAACAATTCAAGGTCAATGTCAATAAACCAGAGATTCTACCACAAACTGACCACTTTGATCATGCAAACATTGCTTGGAGCCCTCAAATTTTTCAATTTTGGGCATACTTCAAGTCTCCATGCATGAATCACATTCACACAAGCATAATAATAGACTACCCCCCACACTTAAGTTCGACATTGCCCTTAATGGCGTAAGATAGAGGTAGAACGATGTTACCACATGGCTTGGTGAGTGAAAGTTGGAATTTTACCCATTGTAGGAGATTTGAGCTTCAAGGAGAAGACAAAAACACACTCACAAACACATACTCGCTCGAGAAGAGGTTATTACACATAACAGTATGATAGTAGCAGTAGTTGTTCACACACACCAAATAAAATAAAGAAAAATAAAATAAAAGAGTTCAGAGTTCCAAGTGGAGAAGTGGGGCGAAATAAATTGGCTCTGCTACATGTCTCACTCTTCGGCTCCTCTCTCTGGTTGAAGGTCCTTCCCCATCCTTTGGGAGGATACCCTAGCGACGGGCCTCCGCTGCATCAAGTTGGCGGTCCAGTCAAGCCGGGTAGTGACTCCCACAACGTGGGTCTCGAGTCGATCCATCCTCTCCATGAGGTGATCTCCGGAGTTTGAAATTCCAGCTCCGTGTGCTGGTGGTGGTGGTGTAGCACGTAGGAGCGCGGGACAACGACGGTGGCCGGGAGCTCTAACAGGTGATTGGTCTCGAGGAAGGACCACTGGATAAGACTCCACTAGAGTCGGGTCAACTACCGACCTCATAGCTGCTGATGGTCGAAGTCCATCGAGGTACTCGATCCCTCGCTCTCCTTGAAGCACCAACTTCATGTTGTAGAGAGTTTCCGATGGGAAGGGCTCGGTCCTGCCAACTATGGAGCACCTCATCACGCCCACGTCGAAGTACCAGGCCAGTCTCGTGATAATGCCCCCCATATGCATCGTGTCCACTCTGTTCCGCCGTATAAACAGGGCGAAAGAGGTAGCCACCATCACTCCCAGATGGAGGGGCTCGACAGCATAGTTAGTAAATACTCCGTTTAATACACGTATATGTACCCGTACGTACTTTATCCGTTTAAAACTTCCGTATCCGTATTATTGTCAAGCCGTTTCATTTTCCCCCGTTCATTTCATGGTTCCCGTACTAAACACGTATAAAACCCGTATAACACGTTTATTATCCGTATTTTACGAATTAAATTGTTAACTTTACTATTATTTATATATTTATTTATTTTTAAAATGATTAATTTTATATATTTATGACTATTAACGTACTATTAAACGTAATTTTAGCTTAAAGATGAAGTATAATGCCCGTACGTATCTTTTACGTAACTTTCCCGTACCGTATTTTACTAACTATGCTCGACAGGATGCCTCATAGAATGGAGGGCCATCAGCCCTCTATTGGTGATCAGGTGGCCCGCTTGCAAACTGGGGACGATAGACCGGGTGAGCAGAGTTTGCATGATACTCCACGGGATCCGCAACTTCACTGCATTGGCGTGGCCACCCTCAAACTCATCATGCTAGTGCTCAGGGCGGCAGAGGGCCGGTAAAGCGGCCTGATAGTGGAAGTCGACGGTGTATGCAACTCCATCATCATCATGTATGTGGTGTCCAACCCCTTGGCCTGGACAAAGGCATCATATGTTAGCACCCGCGGCTAACCTGCAAGCATGAACTCCACATGGGGAAGAATTCTCTTGCTCGTCGGGACTACGTGGGAGAAGGTGGAGTAGAACTCCACGCAGAGCTCTCGGTGGATGAGCTCATCCACTTTCAGCAATTGGCGCCACTAGGCTTGACAAGCAACCCCTCGACATCGCTGCTCGGCACCTGAACCTTTTAAACAAGTCCAGGTTAGCATCCAGTGCGGTCCAACAAGACTGTTCATCTGATAAGCAAACTTCGCCGCGAACTGCTCGTGGTTCACCAAATAGCTGATGAACTCGTGATCCAAATTAAGCATCCTGCAAAACAGTCAAACATGCACCATACATGGAAATGATTGTCAATCTCAACTCATTGGGAGGAAAAAGAATTTCCCCCACATTTATA